GGATTTCGCCAGCTACAAAACTACAGTTGAGGGACTTGGTACACACACTTCAACAGAATTGTCAAGCTATCATGGCTGATTACGAGGATGTTAATCCAGATGTTGCTTTTTTGGCAGCTGTAGCTATGATGATACCTGTCAGCAGTGTATCACCCGAATGCGGCTTCAGTCTACAAAACGGCATACATACGGCAAGTCATTACCGACTTTGCCAGTGTATATTGAACAATATTATGATCTTGAACATGAATTCTGGTGGCATTTGATTGGCTAACCAAGCAATTTTCTTGTTCAGTTTGTTTCCACTAAGTTAAATTAAATTAGGCCCTGACCACTAGCAGACTACTGTTTCCTGAGTGGCTGATAATTGAGTGGACAGAGTTTGTGTTGCATTATTGGGCTGACTGAAGTCACTGATTTTGTCTCTTTGTCAACAGCTTTTTATGGTTATGATTAAAAAACAGCCTGTGAAGTAATCATTGTGGACTTATTCATTTTGAAGAATTGACTTCAAAAGTATTTTATTTTTTTAAGGTATAAACATAAAAACCAGCGTGCACACTGTGTAAATCTTCAATATATCACTTTGACCAACTGTCTGGTTTTATTTCAATCAGGAGTCAAATTAACACTGTGTTAATGTAGCTGTATAATTCTAATGGTTTATTATGACCTTGTTACTAAACTTGGATTTTATATTGTGCGCTGAATATCTTACTTCTGTCATTTGGAATTTGGTTTACCGCATTAAATGTATTGATGACTGTTGCCTTGAACAGGAAGAACTACATACATGTATATCACTTGTACTGTATAACCAGGAGCTTGCAACTCAGACAGGGTACATGACCAAGGGTGTTGAGTTGTTTACAATACAAATGTATTATATTTTGCTTCAGTCTCTGACAGAATATAAATAATGCGACTATTACCTAAATTTAAGTTCTTTCACATGTGGACTGGACCGAAAAACATAATGTGCATTTGAGAGACAGTTTCAAAACTGCACTAAAAAGAATATATCATACATTTCAGTTTCACACAAAATCTTCCTTAAGCAGACTTGTCTTCCCACCAGGTTTTTTTCTCACCAGAAGCTCTTACATAAAGAAATAAGGCATGCACAAACGGAACATGGTCAGTTAATTCTGAAGTGCTGTGACAGATCATTTAATTAGTTTAGCATGTTAAATGCATGTGTTTATCTGTTGGCTTGAATGTTTACACTGCAATCAGCAGTATTCTGCTATTCTGTAAATCTGTATGTGATCGAGTGACTGATATCATGAGCAGAGTCCCACGTAGTCAGGGTATGACTGCACGCATTCAACAAAGTCACTGTGTCTGACCCACCGATCCAGTCTAGTTGCCATGTATGACCAGCAAGAGTCCTGAGGTCATATTCTAACCCGGGCTCCCTATGTAGTAGCTAAATGTATAACATGGGTGCAATTATGCTAAGGTAGGGCCCTTAACAGATGAAAGAAATCTATCAGGTTCTCAAGTAGTTCATAAAAAATTCTGACAGTTCGTCATGTTTTGTACATATACTGTATGATAGTAGTGTATGAATATTGCCAACTCTTGTATCAAATTTCAGGAGACACATTCTTTGAGATATTCCTCGTTCACTCTAGATATTATATTGGATTAGCAGTTTATTGTCTTCAAATGACTACATAAGACATGTAAGCGTAGCCAGTGGAGCTTAGATTCAAGGCATCGCCAGCAAGTATGATGTTAATATATCAGTTGTACCCAGTAAGTGTATGTTGTATATATTGTGGTGTCAGTCTTTCTTCTGGGAAGAGCATTTAGGTATTATTGTACATGTACACACGTCTTTCGATCTTCATTTCAAGCGAGAAACCAAGGAACATGACTCTTTGTTAGAATCAGTTTTCTGTCTAATCTTGACTTCTGTCTAAACCGGACTTAACTCTCGGTCCCAGGCAAGTCCGGTTTAGACAGATTCCACTGTATCCCATCTTTTAAAATAAGTGTTATATTGGACAAAGGTTGTCATGATTTGGATACCACGATAAAAGCATCAAATTCTGGTTCCAACATTGTTTTTTTATACTGTGAAACTTTATTGAAATATATACTAATCAATATAGAAATGTTGTCTTTCTCTGATGTTTTGAAAGACACACCATGATGTCAAACAAAAGGTTTGTATTACATTTGATGATAAAACTCATACTCAAGTAGTAATTGGGTAACGTGAGTCAAATTACACTTAAACAATCAGGTGAACGTGAGTATCTAAGAACAATGTCATCAAGAGCCATCCATTTCATTATTCCTCATCTTTATATGTAGTATGATATCACCATCTCTTATGATTTGGGATGATAGCTACTATACATGATTTCAATATCGATATTTGTGTTGGAACAGTTTCATTACTCAAAAACATATTCTGGTGATCTAATGCAATTTTTCACAATGTTTAAGAGTTACAATGGCCTTGTTTTGAGCATAGTAGAGTTGTGTCCCTTTATCTTTGAGCACTTTAATACCAATCTGTCTTTGATGTCATAGAAGAAAAACAATTTTTGTCATGACAACAAGTTATTTTCGCATTGAATGTGTTACGTTATACGTAAGCATACAAATCCATTTGATATATCACTATGTCGTTTCGAAAATAGGCAGTATTTTTTCTCTCTGTACCACATGTGCAGTTCCAATATCAGATATGAAGAGCAAAGTAGGTGAGAACATAGAAATACTGTTGGACTATTTTGTGAAAGAAACAAGAACAAGAGTCATCCAAAGATGACATATCCCCCCGACGTGGCATGTCGGTTGATGTTCATGTTACCGGCACTCACTACGAGGAAGTAGGTTGCCATGAGTGCCATCAATTCCCTCAGATGGCAAAGATAAATAACTTTCCTTCTACCATTTGAACATGACAATAACATGACATTATTACAAATATATCATCATCAACATTATAACTCAGGGGATATAATGAGAATCATCAGTCACAAATGTTTCCCTCAACATTGTATGCTGGGGATTGACTAAAAGTAAGATGGTTACAGATTAACACTAATAGAAAATAATTCACACAGAAACACATCAGTCACAATTGTTTCACTAAACATGGTATGTTTGGGATTGACAAAAAAACAAACCTAAACATCTTGTTTCATTATATGTCAGGGGCTACAAATTAAAAAGATTAAAATCTATAAATAACAAACTGCACTACTAGTGAACATGATTGATATGTGCATAAAGCTTGGTGAATCTCTGTCACATGGTTTAGAAAATATGCTCCAGACGAGGACATTACCCTAAGTTCATCAATTTAAATTGAAAAAAGAAAAAAAAAGAAAAAATCTGTTAATAGCAAAGGCACCACTACATAACCTGCTTGATAGGTGTAAATACTTTTGAGAAGCTAAGTTGTATGGTTCGGGAGATATGGTCCGGACAAGAGCACTACCCTCAAATTTCCTAAGTTCATCAATTTCCATGGAAACGACAAAAATATAAAATTCTAAAAATCTATAAATAGCAAAAGGCACTTCTACTGAGCCTGATTGGTAAGTGTACCAAGTTTTGGGAAGCTAGGTTGTACGGTTTAGGAAATATGCTCCGGACAAACAATGATTACAGACGGACAGACAGACAGACAGACAGACAGACAGACAGACAGACGGACATACTGATGGCTATATCCCCCTGTCATTATATGTCGGGGGGATAACAAATAAAAAAGTTAAATGTAACTCTGAGACACTTTATGGCTGAAGGATTTGTGTCTTACTCCACACCAAGTTCCACGATGTGCATGTGTCAGTGACCAAACATTGATCTGGATGGCCATGTATTGGGACGTCTATGAATGGAAGTAATTATTGCGATGATGTTGCTGATAGAGTATCACCCTGATCATAGGTATTCAGGGATCTGGCAATGATAAGGCAGGTATGTTTTATATGTATCTTTATCACCACTGATAAAATAAAATTGTCTCTATTCAAGCCACAGTACCGTACATTGGTACAATAGGTCAAGACTGTTTTGAGACTTTAAAAACATCAAAAAATATTTTTACAAAGATACACATGAATTAGTTCTTTTAATTTTGATAAATTACACAATGTAGTACTGTTGTCACTCAGGCCCATGTATTAATTCAATCTAAATCAGACTTTTGGAAGAAAGCGGCAAACAAATATATTTTTTTCAGAATACCAAGGATGTTTTGTGTAGCACCAATGGCATCACAATACATGTAGGTTAATATATCGATACACAGGTGTTCATGATCACATCACCAGAGGTTATAACAGGAAATAGCTAATCACTGCTTGAATTGAATATATTTTCTGTTAACATTCTCTCACATCACAAACACTTAGCCGAAGATAACAGAGACATAAATCAACCATTATGTGTTTCTATTACACTAAAAAACTTCATATTTTCTGTTGGTGACATGCATGCGAGTGCTATGGAATCAATGCTTTACAGTACATGCCTAAGGTGGAAGAGGTAACATTCTGTAGATCAATTTTTCAACATTGACAAACATGATGCCATTTGTTTGTGTAATCATACACTGAAAGCCTTTCAAAAATCTTATTGATGATCACAGAATGGGCTCAGTCCTATCAGTATCATACCAGTGTTACCTCATATTTTCTGTCTGTAAAGGTATTTTTTAAGACATTCATTAATCTTGCACATCTTCTTGCACGCTTCATTCCATAATGGCCACTCTGCTTGTCATAAGAGGAGGCTAACGGGATAGGGTGGTCAGGCTCGCTGACTTGGTTGAAGCATGTCATTGATCCCAATTGCGTGGAATGATGCTCATGATATCAATCACTGGATTTTCTGGTCCAGACTCGATTATTTACAGACCGCCGGCATATAGCTGGAATATTGCTGAGTGCAGCATAAAACAACAAACAAAACAAAATCATTCCATAATCACCAAGTATACATCCTCACAAAACAACATCTATACATACCTTGACAACATCATTCGATGACTCTGTAATGAAGTCTTCAAACACGAGAGTGATCAGTGTCTCTCCTGCATCAATGATGTAGGTACAGAACAGCTTGTTGTCGTAATTGCCAGGGTAGTTAGGTGAGGAGATGGAGCCAGAAGAGCCTGTGTAGCGCCCACCGCATCCTGAAGTAGATACAATAAGGCTTGTTAACATGGCTTGTTTATAATGTGTCTTCTCACCAAGAAATTAGAGAAATCAAAGGATTTATAACAAAATTGGTGTAGTGTGTGAATGAGTAAAAGCTCAAACAGTTGTTTCAGAAGATAACATAATTACTTTTAATGTGGAACGATATTTCTCTGCCAATTCCAGCATGATTAATGCTCTCAATGCTACTGTCAAACCCATTCGACAGGCGCATAGTCGAAGGACACCCCAAAATGAAACTTGCTATAACAGTTTAACGAGTTGGCTTTGCGTATATTTAAAGTTATGTATGCATAAATGCTCAGCTTGCTCAATATCAAAACTTTCAGTAGTTTATTTACCTGAAAATAAAACATCACGAGTTAAGAAAGTCTCGACCACATTTATCGGCACACAATTACCAGAAACGGCCATTGTTGACTTGTAGCACTTCACGTTGGGCGGCATGCAGTCCGATATTTTCTTAATAATTTTAATATTTTTCATATTAGATCATCAACAATAGTTATCATTTTTAATAATAAAACAATACTACCTCTATAACAACATAGCCATAAATCCTGTATTTTGGCTGCAGACACGCTATTACTTAATCTTCAGATTTTCAACAGAAATCCTCTTCACTGTTAACTATAGTCTGCAAGGTAATTTAAGGTACCAACATTTACTACAATATCTGAAAAACTATCGGACCTACTCCAGTCAAAGTTGGTATGAGATTATTAAACAGTCATACATAACTGGATATTACATTTAAAGACAATCGGTGCATGAATAAAAAATCTGTCTCTTTAGCTATCACTATATTTCATCAACAACCAGACCTGTTCGTCACGGGTGGAACAAGCTTTCATTGTAACAGCCATCTGCATAATGCTGTTGAACCAATCAACTCAACTCGAAAGGGTGCACGGGAATCACGCACGCACGGATACGGTGTTAGCTTTGGGTGTCTCAACGTGCGTGATTCCCATGCACCCTTTCGAGTTGCGTTGATTGGTTCAACTGTGTGGTATGGCCCTGTGACGCAGGGGTAGCATTTTGCAGATGGCTGTTTCAATGAATGCTCGTTCCACCTGTGACAAACAGGTTTGGTTGTTGATGAAATATAGTGATAGCTAAATAGACAGATTTTTTATTCATGCACCGATTGTCTTTAAATGTAATATCCAGTTATGTATGACTGTTTAATAATCTCATACCAACTTTGACTGGAGTAGGTCCGATAGTTTTTCAGATATTGTAAAAACATCGGTACCAGACTATACACACAACTAGTTTTTCCCCTAATAGTATATGTAGCTCTTCAGCTCTTCTGTGCAAAAAGGCAGGAAAAACGTCACTTCTTTACAAAGAATCGGGGAGGTGGGTGAGAGTATTTACTGATGTAATAAAGGTAGTATTCTTAGCATTATTAACAATGATAACTATTGTTTGATAATTCCTGCGAATCCTTTACCTCTATTACATCATAGCCAGAATATACCAGAGGGATAAGGCGGGATCTGCCTCTAGTAACTCCCTGTGTAGTTGACAGCAATCCTATATGAGTTCTTGTATATTTCCACATTCAAACCCTTTCAAGAGGTAATTACTCTAGAATCTCTTTTAGAGGACTTGAAATAGGGTATTATGATTATATCAGTCAATATGCGATACCTTCACTTGAAGTCCCTTATTATTTGCTGATAATCATGAAATGATGTCTTTAGTTCTATTCTAACTCATCATTTGTTGCAGATTCTGAGAGTGACGTAACTTCCGGTTATGACGTCACTACTGGTTTCTAGAACCTCTGACGTCATTTATGACGTCACTTCCGGTCTATATTCCTTCCAATTGCAATGCCACTTCTGGTAGATCTGTTGATCAGCTTTTCTAATACAGCAGCCGTAACTTTAGTGATATCTTTATCCAAGTGGGTTTTGCATGAGAGGAATAGCTGTCAAAGACGTTGGCAATGTGGATCAGTGGCTGTCAGATAGAACTTGAGATTGTATAGGACAAAGGAGGTGATCAGGATGATCCACTGTAGGTGCCAAGGCAGGAATAGTATAATGTCTATGACCCAATGGACCAGTAGCCGTGGACTGATTTTGGGCTATAAAATCCGGAATAGACCGCAAGGTGATGGAGGTCCAGTAGGGGGCGTGAGTGAGACTGGAATAGTTGAGAGTGTGGAGTTCAGAAACCCTGGCTGCAGTAGCCATGCCTAGTAAAAATGCAGCTTTACGGGATTTTTGGAAAAGAGTAGTGTTTCCAAGAGGTTGGTATGGAGCAGCTAGTAGAGCAGACAGGACAACTGATATATTCCAATTTTGGAAGATCCGGGGAATGCGAATATCCTCTAGGCTGAATGCTCGCATGAGTTAAGCACCGGATGTGTTCCTGTCATTAATCAGTCGAGCTGGAGAACGGAATGGAGGGCGGATCTATATCATTCAATGGTTCCATGTCAGAAGTTATTATCCTGTCATAGGTGTAGAAGGAAATTCGCAACCATGGAAATGTCCACTGTGACATTAGTTAGACCACACTTGTGTCTCCACTGGACAAATTTGTTCATCTGTTGTCATAAAGTTGGGTAGATGACGATCTCCATGATCTTGCGACAGCAGTAGAGGCAGCTTGAGAGAACCTGCAGGCCTGAATTCTCTGCAAGATACTTTCAAGGTGGTGAGATGGAGGCTTGGAAGATTGGAGTAAAATAGGTCCCACCTGGGCTGATGCAGGAGATCTTTGTGAAGTGGAAGAGTGAGTGGCTCGTCCATCAGGAGTGATAGTAGTCTGGGATACCATGTCCTGCTTGGCCAAGTTGGAGTGATGAGGATGACTGTGCAATTGGTCACTTCCAACTTATGTATAACATGGGATAGATATATCACTCTAATCAGATGGATGTTCTTGTTGTCGGCCACTGATCCACATTGAGACGTCATTCAGACTTGTTCTGAGGGAAACTGAAGTCCATGAGGCAAGACTTGTAGCTAGAGCTCTGATTTCATAGGCAGAACACAATCCTGAGAGAGGCCTGGCGATACCATGAGGCTGTGGGGCCTTAAGCCATCCAGCTACGGTGGCCTTAGTAACGTCGGCGATGGGGAACTGTAGCTGCTAAAAGAACTCGAGAGCTCTTATGGGGCACAGAAGACTGTCAGGATGATCCATCGTAGGTCATAGTGCAGGAATGGTGTAATGTCTGTGACCCAAGGGGCCAAGAGCAGCAGCTTGGTTCTTAGCTACGAATTCAGGAGAACGTAAGGTGACAGAAGACCAATTGGGGGTACAAGTGAGGCTTGAGTAATCCAGTGCGTGTAGCTCAGAGAACCTAGCAGCAGTTGCCATGGCTAATAGGAAGGCAACTTTCATTTATTTTTGGAGTAATAACAGATAAACAGATAATCTCTGTTAGCAAACTCGACCAGAAATCCGCTATTTCCGAACACATCCTGAAGAACGTAAACCATAACATCATGTGGGAAGCCACCAAAGTCCTGTCTACCAACAACAACAACTGGCGAGAAAGGAAACTACAAGAAGCCATTGACATCAGGAGACACCAGCCAGCCATGAACCGTGACCAGGGAACCTATCTGCCTAGTGCATGGGACTTATTGCTTTGATCTTTGTCGGGGCTAATTGCCTAGCTGGCTTCAATTTGCCCCTTGCTGTGTCCATTCTTACACCTATCAGTGATAATTTACCCCAATTTGCCCAGTGTCCATTTCCAATTACTTAGCTATGATAACTTAAGTGTTGGCTTCCATTGTCTATTGCTAATCACCTATCAGCGCCAATCATCTGTTGGCTTCCTTTGTTAGCTTGTACCTTTTGTTATTTTCCACCTTTCGTTATCTTATTAATTTTGTTGTCCTTACATGTACATATATATGCTCTCTGCCTCATGGCATTCATTCAAATGAACACCAAATAAACAATCTTAAACAAAACTGTAAAAAATCAAATATCTTCACCCCAAAACTTAAAACACCCCAAATAGACATAACACTAGCTAGCACAATAAATAAACAAACCGACCCAAACATAGCCAAAACCACCACACTAGCATACATACATGAAAATTGGCCAAATTGGTGTCACATTTACAAAGACGGATCCTCAGATCCGATCTTCAAACACACAGGTTTCGGAGTCCACATTACACAACCAACTAAAGCCACACAATCCTACCGACTCCCTAACAATCAATCAATATTCACGGCCGAAATAGTGGGCATGGCCTCAGCCCTTCATAATCAACAATCTAAAAAACAACAAAAAATCCTAATACTTACCGACTCGCTCAGTGGACTACAAGCCCTCCAAAATAAAAACACCAAAAACCGCCCTGAACTAATAAATCAAATACTAAAAAGCTCAAACGATTTAACTAAGGCAGGCAAACAAATAGTATTCATTTGGATCCCCGCCCACGTAGGAATATACGGCAATGAAAACGCCGATAAAGCAGCTAAACTATCCCTTAAAATCCCAGAAATAAGCTTAAACCTACCCATCTCAAAATCAGAAATTAAAAGTGTTAACAAACAAATAATCACCAAAAAATGGCATAACCTATATCAAAACTCAAATAGCCAAATGAAAAAGGTTCTCAAAAAACCCCTAACCAAACCAAAAATTCTACATCCGTCCAAAAAAATCGACAGAGTAATTACTAAACTCCAAACAGGACATACCAACCTAAATAACCACCTCAAAATAATAAGAAAACACCCAACAGGAACCTGCCCACATTGCAAACAACAAGAAACCCCAGAACACGCACTCATACACTGCACCCACTACCTAACACACCGAACTACACTACAAACCACCCTCAATCCCCAACCCAGTCGGGAAGCGCACGTTAAATCTCCAAAGTAAGTAAGTAAGGCATTCATTCACCTCTTGAAGGAGTAAGCATATACTCTGAAATGTTGTGTTCCTTATAATAAAGAAGTTGACATCCACATTCTCTTCCTCATAATGATTGTAACAGCAACATTTTCTAATCACGATTGTCATCGCCATTGGATAAACTTATCCCATCTATTGTCATAAAGGAGAGATGAAGACAATCTCATGATTTAGCCACAGCTGAAGAGGCAGATTCGGAGAATCCGGAGGCCTGCATTCTTTTCTTGACAGCTTCCAGGTGGTGAGATTTTGGTTGGGAAGATTCCCGTAGACAAGGTCCGATCTAGGTTGAAAAAGAAGATCTCTGCGGAATGGTATGAGAAAATTCTCGTTCACAATTTTGAGGTCGATGATAATTCTCATTTCCAGGGTATTCTTCTTTGATACCAAGAATACAGGAGAATAAAAGCCCTTGCTGATGTCCTTGTAGTGGATACTGCCTCGGGCTCTTTTCTCCAATAATGTGTTGATGGCAGTCGAGACATGAGAAGAGTTTGGGTCTGGAAGTGTAGTTTGTAGCCATAGGTCAACATCAGTCCCCACAGGCAAAGTGACCTACATCCCCGTAGGTTGAAGTTGTACATATTAGATCTATGTATCTATCGAGTGTTGTATGCTATAAAACATGTTGTAGATCTATCCCTTCCCCAAATTCAGGTGAACAAACAGGTATAAAAAACTTGGTCGATAAAAATATGGAATTGAGATAAAACTTCGCTAGACATTATGATTTACCATTTAAATTGTATTTCCTGCTCTCCAAGGCATTGTTTTATATGCAGAGGTTAAGATTACCATGTGTATTTTTCGTAAACTAGGCCTCTCTTAGAAACTAAGTTGTCTCTTTAACAGTAGCTTGGAATTCGGCAGAGCCTGTGCTGTCGGTTTCCTTATTTGTTGTTTAACATCTCACTCAGCAATATTCCAGCTCTATGACAGCATTCTGTAAATAATCGAGTCTGGAATACAGTGATTGACACTATGAGTAGGGAGGTCAGGCACGGCAGCCATCTTGTTTTTTAAAAGAAATTAATCAAGTTTCATCACATTTCAGCTTCATTGACAGAAATAAGAAGAAGATACATGCTTATGAAGAATGTCTTAATAAAACATTATGCCTATTCTTGTGTTGTTCTCTTTGTTATTTCACCATGAATAGAATGTTTATTCAAGTATGCAGCTTCTTTTGATTACCGGGTATGTCAGCTTTTTGCCAAAATGGCACCATCCAATCTTCGTACCCCTGAAGTTCAGGGTAAAAGTAGGAGGTGTGCCTGGATTCACATGACAACGATATTTATATCACATGACAGATGGAAGAGTCTATTTTACGACTATGACCTCGTTCTGGAGATCGTGGCGGGAAATTTAAACAACAAAATCACTCAAAGGTAAGTTTACTCAAATTTTCTGAGAAAGTCTTAAAATGGCGGGAAAACGAATAACTACTACACATTTCAAAACTATCTAGTTTCAAAATTTCATAAATAAAAAACATAAAAATGCTAAGCACACCTACTATTTTTCAAACAAAGTTCCATCGTTTTTCACATCTAGCAGCCGACATGACAGCCGACTCGCAATCGGACAAGTTTATTGTGGAAGGGGACAAAGCTTATGATGGAAGTGTCCCCACGGACAATGTAACAGGTAATCCCCTTTAAAAACTTATATTAAGTAGAATGTTGTTAATTCTTACTAATACGCTTCCATTTTAATATATGAATGAATGTTCTTTGATGGGGAACAAATATTAAGATTATAGAATTTCTTGCTCTCCCCCATCTGTAATATTGAATTCGCCCAAGTGTTTACCTTGCTGTCGCCTTCTGTCGTAAATCATGACAATCAACACATTCCAGACTTCCTGTGTTCATTCACATTCCTAAAATTTCCTTCACAACACCACTGCCATCGAAATGTTATATTAGGAACATTTTCTGTTTACATTTTATCCTAATTAGACCCAATTTCCATCACAGCGGTGCAGACAGTTCAGTCGCTGACCGAGTGGGCTTGGTCCGCTGTGGGGGTGTCAAGGGAGAAAGTGCAGGACTTGCTGACACGCCCTGACTTAACGGGTAGGACTATCTCGCTTGTAGACATTTTAATTTGTAAAGAAAATCAACATACATTTATCGTTGTGATAACAACATGTAAAATTTTATTTTTATGTACAATGAGATTTTCATAGCAGCACATATACCCGTATCAGAATGGACTAATCCACGTTTCATACTACGACTGTTTACAACTTTATTAAAGAAGGCATTTTGTGTGGCTTTTCATGTCTGCTTACCATCTTCAAATATTTAAACGATGGCTCTTTTAAATGAGATCATGTCAACAAGATTCTGCAATTTGCCAGTGAACTGTCGACTGAACTGCTGTCATAGAAACATGAAAACTATTCACAATTTCACTTCCGGTTTGCTTCGTGTCCGGCCGTCGTAGTCTTACTACATTAGTCTTAGATGAGATTTTTTCGAAGATTTGCTTTGATCTGACAACTTAAATGATAAGTGGCTGAAAACTTGTTAGTTCATAGTATTTACTGTGCAATTGGAAGAAAATGTTGACAATGTATTTTTATATCTACAAATAAAAGAAATGACCCCACGAAAGGGGTGATGGTCAAAATATACTGAACAACAAAAGCTCCTGTGACATTGAATAAGATTTAATGCAAAGTTAGGTTTTTATCAAATCTGAAACAATTTTTTTAATTAAATTTAATTGAACTGAATTAAAAATTATATGAAGAGTCATTACCAAAATTCCCATTAGATTCTAGATGATTTAATTATGTACATCCATATTCACCAAACATTTATAAATCTTATCAGAGGCCATACAACAGATAGTCTCTTATTTATTACAAGTATTTGATTATCATCACTTTGATCTGTGCAGATTTAACATTACATTTATTAAACTGTTTGAAAAATGTTGAATGGTCCTAGTGTGTGACAGTGTGTGATAATATTTTGACTTTGTGTATAAAAACTTATCCTATCTCACTAGTCATTATGTATCCAACAGTTGGATGGAGTGGCGCAGAAACCCAAGCCTGTAAAAGACCTATGAAATATTAATGTGATTAGGTCAGGCAAATATACTTTTCCCAAGAATATAATATTTTATCATTACTAATGCTTGAATAGCTTCTTTTTATCTGCCTTGATGCTGAAATGGATATAAGTTCAAATGGTTCCAAATATGTGTTTCAGATGACTGGTCACTGGAGGAGATCAGCCAACCTGTCTTCCGCTCCTTGGGATTCTGGATGCTGGTTTGCCAGGTGATAGAAGACAGCCAGCACTTCACATTTAATACCAATTTGACATGTGTATTTGAAAATCTTTTGCAGTCATGCAAGTGTGTACGGACTTTCCTCAGGAAACTCCGTAACAAGTGTTGCTATTTTTCCAAACGTGATTGGAACTATGAATCTTTAATGTATCCAATTGTTTCTTTACCTGCTGATGAGTTCCCTCAAATTTTGAGAGAAATTGGTATATCTGAACAATGGCTTGAAAACCCTTTGCCTATTGATGTTAATCAAAACTCTGTAAACAAAGCTATTGTTTGTGCTCTTCGCACATACAAGATTCGGAAAAATGTTTGTTATCATAAATGCTCTTTGTGGATTAAATACATTTACAAGTTGGACAGAAAACCTAATCCTCATACACTGAGGTCTCAATGGGATTTTATTCACAAAAAGAAACAAAACTTAAGTTGCCACAGAGAGCAACAAGAAATATTTCTGGGATCTAAATATGATCCTGTTGTAGCTTGTCCTGTGTCTTCTGCCTCTGAATCCATGCTTGGTTCCAAAACAAATTCTAATGTGAGGCAATCAGAATCAATGAGAACTCAAAATGATAAGCTTTTAGTTGAAAATGAAACTCTCAAGAATCATATTCAGTCTATTACCTACAAAAAGAAGAATGTATCATTACAGCTTTATGAGTGTGAAAAGAAAGTAAAATATCTTGAATCACAGCAGCAGAACACTATTGAGAAGATCAAATCTTTTTCAGTCAGAAATGTTAATAAACGAATAAAGAGGAAACAAAAGAAAATTACAAGTTTATTATCTGAAAATAGTCAACAAAAACTGAAGCTAGCATCTATGATGTTAAAATGCAGAAAAATCCAAAACCGTTATCAACGACTTCGTTCATTAAAGACCTACTATCAAAACAAATCCATTGCTCAGTAAAGTGAAGTGAAGGAATTGGAGTTGCAAAATGCTGAGATAAATATGTTGATTGGAAGTCTACAACCAGAAATTGAAACATTTAAAAATGGCAGTTATACAGATGAGGTGAGAATTGTGTGCTATGAACTGTTGAATCATGGTGTTGGTTCCAAACACATCCCAAGAATAATACAGACAGTCTTAAAAAAACTTGCAAATATATCTGTTGAGTTAGAAGATTTGCCTAAAGCTACATTGCTGAAGTATATGTCAACTGAGGCTGGAATCATAGCTAAGACTATAGCTGCAGTTAATATTAAAAATGCTAATGTTTGCACATTACAGACTGATGGTACCACAAAAAAACACAATAAATATGTAAACTTTATTTCTACAACTAACACAGGGCAAACGTTTGGCCTAGCGTTACAGGATCATCACAGTGGAGACGCTAAATCTCAGGTGGAAGGATTAGAGCTTATGTTAGAGGAACTAGCTTCATGCATAGATGATAATGAAGAAAAGGATCCCTTTGAAGGAAAAGAAAATATCATTCATGACTTTTTGGTGAAGTTTAAGAACACAATGACAGACAGACATGTAGTCAATAAAAAATTTGTCAAAATCATTGAACAATGGCGTTCCAGAATATTACCTAAATATGTTTCAAACTGGAAATCACTGTCGACAGAAAAACAGAAGGAATTGATTCAAATTAATGATTTTTATTGTGGATTTCATTTCATATTGGGTCTCCAAGATAACTTTGAGACTAACATTAAAGAATGGGAAAAGGTAGAATCTAATGGAAATAAAATTGGAAGGGAAGAAGGACTGAACTGGCACAGAAAAGGTAGTGCTGCCCTTGAATTTATTAGATCAACTTGTACTGCATTTGGTAAGGATGCCTGTGAAAAAAGTGGGAAACCAAAAGAATTCTTTGAATTCATTGAAAAGCCAGTTCTGTTAGATTCATTCAGACACAATAGATTTAATGTACCATTTGTAAATGCTTCATATGCATATTACCACTTACAGGATATGCTTAATTTCATTAGCACCTTAGGCCCTGATAAAAACAAACTAATGAAAGCCATTGAATTAGATGCTAAAGATAAACTAATTATTGCTGGTGTCCGGGCTATGGGAATTCTGGAAAGACAAATTACGACGCCACTGATGAAGCTAATGGTTAAAAAAAATATTACTGCAATAGATGTCTCATACTATTATACTATCTTTCACAGTTTAATAAAAACATGGTCAAGTGATCCCTCCGAATTACTGGATGGAAGTTCATGTTTATTTAACAATATTTCACCTGTTAAAGATTATGTTTATGACAGTTTGTACATGAATGTTGAGGAAGATATTCAATCTCTAACTTATCAAGCTCTCTCTGTGGGCTGCACAAGTTTTCTTGTCGTAACTGAGCGTATGCTCAAAGACCATTTACCTGGTGGCAGATTTCATTGTCCTTCAGCAATTATCATTCAGGAAACTTCAGGTGTTCCAAAACATAACATTGCAACTGAAAGATTATTTTCAGGCCTTGATCGTTTAATACATAAAATGCCAAATGCAAACACAATTGGAATTGAGGGAATTTTACTTTGGTCACTGAATAAAAGTGTGGACTATCTTGACTCATTGTCACCTGCAGAGAGAGAAAGATTAATTGGAAAAGCCAGGTCAGCTGCACCAGAAATGCTTGTTAAATACAGAGAAAGAAAAAGACTTATTAAACAAAAAATAAAAGAAAAAGTAAAAGAGAGAGCAGAGAAACAAGCTGCTAAGGAAAATCAAGCAATACAAAATAGACTGTCTATCATCCATAAAGTAAACAATTTGTATGGTGGACCAATCAGTTTAGTCTCTTCTTTGGATAGACTTTTAAATGGATTAACAGAATTAAGACAGTTGTCAATTCTGAAAGATTTAATTAAATATGAAAAACTTATAAACTATCAAAAATGTTTCATTAAGCTTTATCAATTTCAGAAAGACAATAAGAAGTTTTCTAGTATAGAGCTACGTACAAATTTAGAAATTATTCTGAAAGCTTTCAGTTAATGTGTCTAATGTAAGTACTAGTACTTGTACTACTGGTCCACCTGTTTTACAGGGAGAAAAAAGAAAACAACCGCCATCAAATGAAACTTCAACTGAAACCTCAACAAAGAAAACAAAATTACAAACTTATTCATACTGTTATTCATTTAAAGAAGGGGATTATGTTTGTGTTGCATACAATGAAGGGTGGTTTGTTGGTGTTGTCCTCAATATTTGTTTTCAAAATAATTCTGAAAAAGCAAATGTCAAATTTATGAGACGGAAAGGAAGCAGTCTTGTTTGGCCACAACCAGAAAATGTTAAAATTGTTGAAAATAAATATGTTTTTTATTCTGGACTTGATATCTGCACTTTGAACGGAAGGTTATACTTCATTAGTGGGGAAAATAACCACCAAAAACTTGATACATTGTATGAAAATTATAGTGATGAATTTTTCACATGATATGTTTCTTGTTTCAGTGACCCAATCCTGACCCAATGTCTTTCGTTGTTGGAGCCCTCCCTGCATTCATACCGGTAACTCAAGGGATGAGTCTACTGTGTGTTCAGTTTAGATATTATCTAAATTGGAAACATGGTATGCTCTTCTCTTACAACAAATAACTGTTGTCGAATAACATTTCCCTCATCCTCAAGCTTGAATATTTATTTGGCAAGATTAATCATATATCCTCCATGCTAGATTTATAAAGATTGATAAAGACAATGCCTCATGTGAACTAATTCCATGATGTGCGAAGCACTCAAGCTCATGTGAGGCACTGCCTTCATCAGCTGACTAACGTCAACAAAAACAACTTATTTTCTGATATAATGTTTTTTGGGTGTCTAGCCGGGAGCGCCACATTTCAGAAATGGCTATTGCCGGTAGGGCCACATTTCCAGCTGAGTGCATTTCACCTATTCTAGCGGGTAATTAATTAATCCGATTACCGATACCTTTAAATGAGTGTCCCACATTTAAATTACTAAGCGTGGTGTTCTTTAGAGATACCTTTAAATGAGTATCTCACATTTAAATTACGAAGCGTGGTGTTCTTTAGAGATACCTTTAAATGAGTATCTCACATTTAAATTACTAAGCGTGGTGTTCTTTAGAGATCAAAGGCCGTCTTAATTGACATTGAGTTCATCCTGTTATTCATAACATATTTAAGTGATGTCGTGTTCACTCCATATCATAACCATGGCAAACGCACAAGTTCAAATAAAGTTCATTGAAAGTGTCAGAGGAGGCGTTAAATTTCTGGGCCGCGTCCCAATCAAACCCTCTCATCCAAAACTTAATAAACCAAAACATCAGCCCCAAAAACCAAGCTCTAGCTCGTAAACACCCCTTACTTACCCCAATATCCCAAAGAATAACAAACTACCTAAATGAACACCAAATTAAAAATCTTAAACAAAACTGCAAACAATCAAATATCTTCACCCCTAAACTTAAAATACCCAAAATAGACACAACACTAGCTAGCCAAATAAATAAACAAACCGACCCAAACATAGCTAAAACTACCACACTAGCATACATACACGAAAATTGGCCAAATTGGTGTCACATTTACACGGACGGATCCTCAGATCCGACCTCCAAACACACAGGTTTCGGAGTCCATACCACACAACCAACTAAAACCACACAATCCTTCCGACTCCCAAACAACCAATCAATATTCACGGCAGAACTAATGGGCATGGCCTCAGCCCTCCATAATCAAGAATCCAAAAACCACAAAAAAATCCTAATACTTACCGACTCCCTAAGTGGACTGCAAGCCCTCCAAAACAAAAATACCAAAAACCGACCTAAATTAATACATCAAATACTTAAAAGCTCCAACGACCTAACTAAGGCAGGCAAACAAATAAACGGATAAATATGTGGATACCCGCCCACGTAGGAATATACGGTAATGAAAACGCCGATAAAGCAGCTAAACTATCCCTCAAAATCCCAGAAATAAGCTTAAACTTACCCATCTCAAAATCAGAAATTAAAAGTGTAAACAAGCAAAAAATCACCAAAAAATGGCATAACCTATATCTAAACTCAAATAGCCAAATCAAAAAAGTGCTCAGCAAACCACTAACCAAACCAAAAATACTCCATCCATCCAAAAAAATCGACAGAGTAATCACTAAACTCCAAACAGGACACACCAACCTAAATAACCACCTAAAAAAATTTAAAAAACACACTACAGGTAACTGCCCACACTGCAAACAACCAGAAACCCCAGAACACGCACTCATCCACTGCACACACTACCTAACACATCGAACCGCATTACAAACCACCCTCAATCTAAACAAGGCTCTAACTCTAGAAGCAATACTAAACCCACAAAATAAACTAGAAAACTTCAAGGCCTTAGGCGTATTCTTAATCAAAACGGAACTAATAAAACGCATCTAAAAACACAATAACTCACCAAATCAAAATCACATAAACAAACAAACATCCACCATACCCAGCTCCCTTAGTTCTCCTCCCCAATCCCATCGGCATCTATTCCAAATCTCAAAATTCCCAAATTCTATATAAGCAACCCCTAAAACCCCCCTCTTGGGTTGCACAGACCACCTTCGCCCCTTTCGGAAACACATTAAAGGGCCTGGCCGGGCCCGTGTGCGAAATACGCATCAGTCGGAAAGCGCACGTTAAATCTCCAAAGTAAGTAAGTAAGTAAGCAGAGGAGGCGTACATTTATACTATGATGGCTTTAAGTTTCGGTGTAAGAGCAGTCGTGGTGAAAGAAGATACTGGTCCTGTATTGTCAAGGAGTGCACTGCAAGGATCACAACTCAGGGTGAGTTGCTCCACGCCATTGAGATCATGGGTCACTCCCACGACGCACTACCGTTCGAGTTTGAGGTTGATGCCTTTAAGGCTAGACTGATGGAGAGAGCGAGACTATCTCACCAGTGGTCAGAACCTTCACGAAGAAAGAAGTACAAGGCAATCGATGCACGTATTGCGTCCCTCAAGATCCAGCTCCTGAACCAACACCTGAGTGAGATGGAATATGCTGACCACGTGGGCGACCTCCTTCATCTGCAGTTATGATCCATTATGATATCCATATGCTATTCATATTCATCAATGTAAAGTTCTGATGAATATATATCCTTGTTGAATAAGAAATGAGAAAACAAGACTTGTTTTGTTATATACGGTAACCTGTTAGAATCACAAAGCATGTTTTGACAGCATAGCCGTGAGAGCCACATTATACAATCACGCATACAATCATCTAGTGATTCAATACTGAACAACAGCGTTAAAAATGTGAAAACTGTGATGAGAGAGTATGGCGATGAACATATGACAATGAAAATGTGAATAAAACCAATCAAAACTGCATATCTGCATTGTGTTTTTTGTACTTCAAGAAGAGAGAAAATCTCATTACTTGCAGTAAGTAATATCTTGCTGTATCCACACATGGAGCATTGAAAGATGTACATGCCTTCCAAATTTCATAGAGATATCTTCGTTTTTTAAAAAGTTATGTTCATTTTTGTGCATGTCATTGAAGGAACTCCGTTCATCGCTTGGTGCCACATCTATATTCAGATGAAAAATGATAAAGTCACATTTTTGTGATGATTTTTTTCAATGATAAAGAAGGATTTAATTGTTTTTAACTTTATATTTTGTTAATATATATTATTCTTGAATCACATTAAGAATCTTAAAATGATAGTTAATTGTCAATGCATTTCTAAGACCATACAAAGTGTGGTCATTTTGGCTATTTTTGCCCTTATAAATGGCTATTTTGCATTTTTTTAATTGTAATTATTAAATGTTATGATACAATCATGGAGCTGATGATATATGGTTTGGTTGAGATTTTTATTTTCAGATGAATGATATATTAAAAACAGGAAAATGCCTTTTCAATTTGTTTTCCCGGCCCCTTTTAATCCTGAAATATATGCATACTCAATGGTGGTCATTTTGGAAAACAAAATGGCCGCTTTTTACACCCCTTAAAACAGCCATATCTCAAAAAGTTTTTGACATAAATTAAAATGGTAAAGTGTTTTTTATTCATTTTAACATGAACTAAAAGTTGATGTATAAACCTGAATTAAATTATGTATGAACAAAATTAGCCTGACCTCCCTACTATGAGCATCGATCCACGCAATTGGGATATGATGACATGTATCAACTATGGCAGCGAGTCTGACCACCTGATCCCGTTAGTCCCCTCTTAAGACTAGCCTCGTCCCCTTTTACATCAGGAACTACCCGCCATCTTCACGGGTTCTGTGTGGGTGGTCTGCACAGGAACCGGAGGTAAGGTAAGGTAAGGTAAGGTAAGGCTAATGTGGTAAGGCTGATTCCTTCACAATGGGTTGAGAGGCATGATGTGACCATGAGATTTTTTTCTGTAGGCTTAGACGGACGGTTGGTAGAGCTGTCCGGGGACCTGAACGGTCTTGCCACCTGTGGGGGTAGAGCAGAAGTGGACGGTCGGTTGGTTAGTGAAGATATGCATCTGTAAGATCTAGGCTGAAAAGCCAGTCTCCCTTCTTTAAAGTCGGCCGCAACTTCTGCATGGACTCCATCTGGAATTTTGGAGGCAGCACCAGATATCTCTTGTCAAGGGTCTTTAGATCCATGATCACCCTCATCTCGGTTGTGTTCTTCTTTGGGACTAAAAAGACTAGAGAGTAAAAACCCTTGGTGTTGTTGGGACTCCTTTAATTCCCGAATGGCTCGCTTCTTTAGTAGCTTCCTGGCGGCTAATTCTGCAGCTGCTAATTTCGCACCGGTCAGGTGAAGTCTTCAACCCACGACGTGGATGTTCAGACTCAGATATTTCCTGAAGTGTAGCTTGAAGCTGTGAGCCACGTTGTCTAGAATCCAGTGGTCGGGTGTAACCTGCTTCCAAGATTGTGGCTTGTCGTACCTTCAGCCTCAGCTGGAACGAATCCTTCTTGGAGGGAACTAACTTCTTCTCAGGAGGCTGTTTGTGCACAGATGACTTATGGTCCCATTTATTCTTGTGAGAATGTGATGACTCATGAGTTCTCGCTGCAAGGTCTATGGTTGAAGTCTGGAAATGCTTGGCTGTATCTTGTTACACCTCATCTATCACATTTCTGAGTTTCCCGTTGAAAGTGGTGTTTGCTGATATAAGTTGCAATGTCATCAACTTCTTGGTCTGGCTAGATACAGCCCTCGACCTAATCTGGGATAGGAGCTGGTGTCTCAGTAACTGTGAGGAAGTCCAGACTTGGGATGATAGTAAATCTTTCTGAATCTTGACGATCGACTCAAGGAGACTGTGATTAGTCCGACTTGATTGGTCCGAATAGTCATGGGCGTTCACGGCGCAATTCCTTCATAGGATGGTTGTAGAGGCGGATTCCAGCGACAAACCAATTTAGATATGCCCCAATGTCCATGGAAGTATCTGGCAACCAATGCTAAATCCTTGAAACATGATGCTGATAACGTAACCTAATTTGTAGAAATCTTCATCCAAGTGTTGCAACTCCGGAATTATAGCCTTGTGCATCTTGTATAACTTCCTTTCATAGGTGGAAGAGGTTGACGTTCATTGTGCTTGAGTCTATGGATGTTATCCGTTGATTGATCTACGACCTTACTCGCGCAGCTGGGCCAAGGTAACGTCTGATAAATATGTTGAGATGGAGCAGGCGCATGACATCCCCGTATTCTGGCATCTGGGATAATGAATCCTCTGTCAAATGCAGCCGAAGTGAAGGCATAAGGTGGTAAAGCTCTTCATTAGGTTCTACAAAAGTGTAGCCTTTGATGTGATAACGTTGGGGTGAGTTGTCTATCTCCTCCAAACCCTCTGATTCTGGCTCTGAGTAGTCTGGGGTATCTCCTGTGGGGGGTGTATAATCATATCCCTCAGCTTCTGCCCCGTAGGGCTCGTCATCCTCCGGTGACCATGACTCCGGCATAATAAGTCTCTGTGTGGCTTGTAGCCCTTGGGTAATGGTAGCCATGCTTTGGCTGTCCTCACAGCTGGCTGGTCAGTCGGCTGGCAGCTAGCTGGGTAATTCTGTGGAGTCCGTGAGGCTGGTTTGGGTCCTGTTGGATTGTCAGCCGTGGTCGGTAGGCTTGGTAGCCGTTGCTGGCTGGCCCATGGAATCTGTGCGGCGGCCCTAAGGTTTTTTCACGGATGGATGGCTGGACGGCTTAACGGTCGGGTGGAACTTGGGGCCATATGGCGTATGGCTGGTATGGCTGGTTGCCGTGGACGGCCTGTCCATGGATATTGAGTGGCTCAGCTTGTAGATCTTTTGTAGGCTGGGACACGGCCGTGGAAGAAGATCTCTTAGTCTTAGCCAGAGCTACCATCGCGATCTTAGCATCCATATCCTACAGCTTAGAATCAAGCATGTCTTTCATCATCTCCTGCTGTTCTCTCAGAAGTTGTTGGATGAGGCTCAGGGTGAGAGCAGGAGATGATGGGGTCGCCACCTCTCTCCTCTTGGCCTTCGTCGCGGCCTCTGACATTTAGGAGAATATCTCTTCACATGTGTCGGTGCATATCTCACATCTCTTGTCCAATGTGCAGGTATTCCCTCTGCACTTCGTGCAGTTTACATGAGGATCTCCCATGATCATAAATCGATCACACTTCTTACACCCGGGGATGATGTGAGACTGCATGGCGACCTCACAAACCCACCAGCTATACTCACGTGCGTGCAGTCTCTTTCAGCAGCACTATTACTTCAAATATATATTTATTTATATGTCTGTTACGATAGCAATCTTATTAGAATAATCTTAGGTTACTGTGATCTACTACCATGTTACCATGTGCTAGATTGTCACTACTACTTAGTAGGTGTTGACTCTAGCACACACAGGAAAAAAGTGATATGGCCGCCAATGTGACGTCACGGCATTGGTAGTTACGAAACTACTTGGCGGCAACTAATTGTTTGTAATTTACAGTGAAGAGGACGTATGTTGAAAATCTGAAAATTTTAGTTAGTGTGATTGAAGCCAAAATACAGGATTTATAGCAGATATGTAATAGAGGTAGAAATTTCATAAGAATTATACAGGATTTATGGCAATGATGCGATGGGAGGTGAGATGGGAGGTACGTGTAGTGTATCATAACTAAAGATATTCGAACCTTCACCATTGAAGATTTCAATCTTAGCCAGGATCCCAGTCTTAAATCTAAGCTGTCTTTCAATTGTGCCAGAATCAGTGGAATAGTGAGTGAGTGAGGATGGTTTTACGCCGCTTTTAGCAATATTCCAGCAATATCACAGCCGGTGACACCAGAAATGGGCTTCACACATTGTACCCATGTAGGGAAACGAACCCGGGTCTTCGGCGTCATGAGCAAACGCTTAAACCACTAGGCTACCCGACTGCCCCTGCAAGTGGAATGAGGTATGTTGATTGTAAAGTTGATTGACAGCACCTGAGATTGATAGTAACTAAGGTTGCTCTGTTAAGTGGGCCCAGTTGATTAAAGGCTTTACAGGAAATTTTGTTTCACGTCCTGCAGTCCTAATTATGGTTATGTAAAGGAACGAAGCATCTGCAAAGTCACTTGAAGTCAACAGCTGATAGGGATAGGCAGGCTGACTGCCATGGGTTGCGCCTTGTTATCATGGAAGGATTTGATAAGAATATTATTTGCCCTGTCGCCATGCTGCAGGATCCATATTCGATAATTAAGGAATGCACAGAAGCATTTTCTAGTTTTACAGATAGAACTCTGGCGTTATTGCTGACAGGATTTTCATGATCAGAGGTAAAATTCAACACACTGGAAGATGAATTTGTTGGAATGACATGTAAATGAATCCATAACTAACTTGTGGTTCAGAATTGTTCACAATGCTATTTAACAGTAGGGATGCAAAACAATGATTTTTCTCTTTTTGTCTGTTTTTCCATTACATACAAAATTACATACAACATGATTCCATTTCATTTTATTTCAAGGATCTTTGAATGAAACAGAAAGGAAGACACGTTGAACATGAAGAGAGGTTAATTCCTATATCATAAAAAGTGTATGCCTTGAGTAGAATAATAGCATTTTGTAGGCATGTTTTGTGAATGGATATGGATTACGTACCCAGTATTAGCAGATTCTGTCCACAGTCAGGGATGATTGGTCCTCCTGAGTCTGGTGAGCCTCTGTAACACATGTAATGACCTTCGTCTTCCCAAGTTACATCAGAGAGCACGAATCTGAACAGACCGGTTCCTGATGATGACACGTGTCCAATGAATCTCACTCTAGATGTGAACTTATCACTGGCGGCTCTGACATCATTGTGGCCTGTGACGTGAAGAAGGCATGTCTTTGTCTCACTTTTACACACACTGAACTCACTGGTCCCAGGATCCGGGAGAGTCCATGACAATGTGGCATAGCCGCCAAACCTGGCATATGCAGATGAAGTAACTGCAAAACAGAAAATTCATGAAAGTTTGACAGAGAGTACACTTATGAAACACAAAGAGTGAATTATTGAAGAAAAATTGTTTCCAACAACAGCAAAAACAAAACATCTAAAGAAGTGAGGTCAATGCTCTAGCAGTGTACCTCATGTATATGTAACCATATGATGACATCATGATGACATCACATGTTTAACATCATATTAACTACAAAAATGTCAGAGCTTACACAAAACACATTTTTCTCCATAAGTCTGATTAGAGTCATACACGTGTAAATAAGATTATAAATTTGGCAGTGTAGTAATTATGTGTACTCCCTGTATTCTGCACATTTGTATATATTGTACTGCAATAATGTACTGACATTTTACTGTATAGTGTTGCTCTGAATGGAATGAACCCATACAGCTGATCTACTCTACAGAGCTGCTTCCAGAGTGTGGACGTTTCTTTAATCAACTCTATTTACAAGAATAAGCTGCAACTATTAACAGCTGTGGGATATGACAGGTAGCTTGGGTCATTTCAGTATGTTTTATGGAGTTAATTTGTTCAAGTCAGCTTACTCCGATTGGTCTGGTTCAAATTCTAACTCAGCATTTAAATTCACATGAACATCATCCATTACACCTTGACCATGTTGACTGAACACAACCATCCTTTGCATAGAGTTTAAGCTGATCCACGAGATTATCATTATCATTATTATTATTATTATTATGATGATGATGATGATGATGATGATGATGTACAGATTAAAATATTAAATGCTGCAAAGAGGGTTTGGGTGGTACTGGCACAGTCAGGCTGGTTAGGCTCATCATCAGCTCCGGGCCCTTGCCCCCTCTACATGCAGCCCAGACAGTGAATGGGACTTCTCCTAGGAAGCGCTGCCTAGTTAAACCCGCCCAAAACTATTCGGAGAATGTGAAGACTCCCCAACACTGCAGCCTTCTGTGCATTACCCAGATTGTCAGAAGGGCTGTATTCCTGGTAGCAAACCTGGGTACTCTCTCAATGTCTGTCAACAGATTGGGAGGTACAAAACCTAAGACACCGAGAACAAGGGGGAGTCGGACAACTTGGTACTTGGGATGAAAGCATGACATTTCGAAAGCAAGGTCCGCATATTTGCCAATCTTGTCAATCACATTAGTGTCAAAAGGGACAGAAAATTCAATGATATAAATGATTTCATTGGATTTATGAAAAAGGACAAGATCAGGTTTGTTGGCCTGGATACATCTGAGGCTGTAAACGGGCCTATTCCAAAGAATTTTGTATTTATCATTTTCCATGATACCCTCTACATATTCCGGGTCGTACCATGGATGGACCTCTGTGTCATAACCACAAGCATGGTGAAGACGGTAAAAAAATGATCAAGACACTACCATGTCGCTTAAGATACTGTGTTTGTGCCAAAGCGGGGCATCCACTGACAACGTGTTGGACAGTCTCATTAAATTCATTGCATAATCTACATTTCATATTTACATTTTGATGCAAAATCACACATGAGTGGGAAGTGACTGGTCCTGAGCAGCAAACAGTAAGCCTACTGTTTCACTTTTCAGGCCAGACGACTTCATCCAAGCGAAGGACTCTGCAGGGTTGCCGATCTTCTCAACACACTGCACATAAACTCGATTCAGTAGTCCTTCAGATAGCCTCTCCTTGAAAAACTGAGTCTGGGCCGTTTTGATATGGCACTTTGCTTGGTTGACACTTATTTCTGTACCCTCCAGCAGTACAGAACCATCAACAAAATAAACACTGACATTGAGATTATGTCCCTTACCCTTAGCTCGTTTATGAAAACAGTGGAATGCCTTGTTGTCATCATGAGTCTTGACATGCCTCAGAAGATGATCGTCAGACAAATAAATGTGTGCAAAAATGCACAATTCAATTCTATCATGAAGAGCCTCCACATTAATCAAACCATGCCCTCCCATTATGATTGGTAAATATAAGCGATTGGGGGAAGAGCGAGGGTGGTGGGATCTATTGTCAGACATGATTCTTTGTGTGAGGGTGTCAATACCCTGAATTTCTTTTTTCGTCCAATCAACAACACCAAAAGAGTATGAAAGGACTGGTACAGCATAAGTATTTGTGGCTTTAACTTTATTGCGGGTGTTCAGCTCTGAACTCCAGATTTTCTTGAGTCTACATTTGTACCCTGCCCGAAGTTTGTCCTTGATATGTGCATTCTGGAGTTTTTCCCTAACCTGCATCCCTAAGTACATATAGGAATATTATCAGCATCACAGAGCCAGAGGCAAGGAACATGGTAGAGGCAGTTATCACTAGCGAAGCAGAGGAACTGGCAGGGGCCAGCATCAAGGTAACCAAGGGGCAGCTTCACCTCAGTTGCCAGGAAACTGAAACCCTCTACTGCCATGAGTCGGGTTGTTGGTGCGGTGGAAACCAAATACCTGTGAGATACAGGGTCAATAATTACGAAATATTTCTTCAACTATTTCTTCAAACCATTCGGTATTAAGCTTCTCCAAAAACATGGGTGGCTCATGCTTAAGGCAGCCAACGGTTTGGAGAAACCAAACATTAGATATTTTGAACTGGACATTGACACATTGCAAAAAACAATTCCTAAAAGACGAATCTTGACAACAGCTCTGATCTGGCAACCAGGCAGCAGAGGAAGCAGGTGCCACGTATACTTGGGATGACTGTTATTAAACTATGTAGAGACATGCTACTTCAAGAGCATGGACAGAACTTAAATGTGGTCTCTAAGATGTCTGTCAATGAGTCATGGATCAAGAGTTTCATGAAAATATCTGAAACAAGATCCATCTTGGGTACTGTAAAAGTAGTGGGAAGAGAGCCAGTCTGCGTACCAGGAAAGTATGAAGTGGTTGTTGATGCAATCTCTCATAAGAACAACAGTTCTGTTCAATATGCAATGGTACAACAGATTCCGGTTTCACCTCGGCATTAATCTGCAAACTTCCAATGTTGTGAACCCCCTGTTTCAAGTTCAGAAAAAAGCCTTCCAGGGTGGCAAACAATCGGAGGGTCGGATATTTGGTGGGTATACTGTTTAGAATATTGGAAATATATTCAGGAACTTCCACAAGAAAAAGAAATCAAATTCAGAAAATTCAAGATGGAGCAGAAGAATACCTGGAAGTTTTTTTGCTTTTGTGTTATACATTGCTTGGTTCAATACAAATTACATGATAAATTTGATTTCTATAATAATTTCAGGCCCAATATATATCTGGAGAAATCAGAAATAGTTTCATTTGATTTCTGGGTTAATCCAAAGACGTATATAAGTCTTTGGTTAACCTTACTTTCAAATTGGGAATCAGCTCGAAAAAGAAATTGTGGGCTCGTCCGTGACCTGAATTAAATTTGCAGGGGATTTTAAAATTTAAACAAAATGATTTCAGTAGTTGCCCTGTACCTTGTTGCTTTGCACAGGGTTATTGTAAAGTTTGTAACTATCGCATGAAGTTTAAGGGTGAGACATTCGTTGTGTCTCCAAGTAAGGGGCAAATCAGAGTGTTGAATAAATCGGATTTCCACTCACTTTGAGAAGGTTGCAACGTACTTTATATGACCACAAGAGCATTGGGTAATGTTATTGCTAAGTGTTTCGAAGGGCACAGCTGAAGTTTATTCAGCACTCCCCATTGATGTTAGTTTCAACAATAATGAAGTGAAAAAAGCTGTTTTGAAGGCTTAGAAGTTGGTCTGCAAGGCATATAGACAAAAGTTTAGGTATTGAAGGACAAGGGGTGATTATACGTATGTGGAGTTCGCTAGGTAAAAGGAGACTTTGTTTGATAGGTGGTGTTTATGGATGTTGGCCAGGATTTTATACTTCTTAATTAAATCAAACTAAGAATTTGTACAGTGCATTTTCAAATTAACAACTTCTGAAATGTGTTGAGACCATGACTGATCTAGACAAAGGTTCCCTTGAAGAGACATGTCTTGAGCGTCTTTCTAAAGATTGTGAGATTTTCTGTTTCTCAGATTTCTTGTGGCAGATTGTTCATAGCAATGGGTCACCATGTTGAAATGACCTATCATTGTTGATCCAAGCTTTTGTCGTCTCCAGGTTGGTTTATTGTAATTCCCTCCTCTATGTTCTACCAAAGAGTGATGTAGTAAAACTACTGCATGTTCAGAATGCAGGTGCAAGAATTCTGACTAGAACACCTTAGCGAGAACACATGACTATAATAGCTGCCAATCCAAAATGGCTGCCAATCCATACTTACAGGAATTGCTTGTACCATACAAGCCAGCATGGCTCCCCGATCAAAAGATCATCATCGGCTAGTGGTACCAAAGTCACTAGCCGATGATGATCTTTTGATCGGGGAGCCATGCTGGCTTGTATGGTACAAGCAATTCCTGTAAGTATGGATTGGCAGCCATTTTGGATTGGCAGCTATTATAGTCATGTGTTCTCGCTAAGGTGTTCTAGTCAGAATTCTTGCACCTGCATTCTGAACATGCAGTAGTTTTACTACATCACTCTTTGGTAGAACATAGAGGAGGGAATTACAATAAACCAACCTGGAGACGACAAAAGCTTGGATCAACAATGAAATTTCCTTTGTCCGATGTTGATATGAGTTTGTCCTTTGGTAATATGCACATTTGAATATGGCTGTGATATGTTTATCCAAGCTGTAGAGCGGATCCATGATGACACCCAGGTTTCTCGCACAATGATACACCATTGCCGTTTGCTGCAATTTGGAGCATATGTGGTAGGAGAATTTCGTTGATGTATCATTGAGCCGTAAGATTGCCCTGGATATGGACCAAACCTGCCCTGCCATGATGAGAGATAGCCTCCCACATCATAATGCTACCCCCACCAAACCTGTCCACTCCCTAAACGCAGTTTCCTGCATAATGTTCTCCCCGACGTCTGTAGACCTATGCTCTTCCATCCTCTCCATATGGAGGAGAAATCTTGATGCTTCGTTGAACCAAACATCTCTCCAT